GGCTACTTCCAACTAATTATGTTAGACAACTATAATTAGGAAAAATTACAACCTTAATTAGAAAATTACAGCCACAATTTACTCTAATTTTATAACTCACGCCAACAAGCAATTCATACTTTGCAAGAAGCTGCAAAGTCTCAAAGGGAGAGGCACTTACTTTAGACATATTTCTTCTAGACTTGAATCTGTTGCAAGGGAACTAATGTCAGTACAATTGGAATTACATGATGATATAACTAATTCTCAAAGGAGGTTTAGACATATTTCTTCTAGACTTGAATCTGTTGCAAGGGAACTAATGTCAGTACAATTGGAATTACATGATGATATAACTAATTCTCAAAGGAGGTTTAGACATATTTCTTCTAGACTTGAATCTGTTGCAAGGGAACTAATGTTAGTATAGTTGGAATTACATGATGATATAACTATTTCTCAACTTCAATGTAAGGTGGCTCAATTGAGAAAACAAGCCAGAGGCTTGGGTGAAGCGGAAAGGAGCTTTTATTATCAAAAAGCTAAGAGTGAGTACTTGAAGAAGAGTGACAAATGCACTAAGTTCCTTTGCTCAGTGGTCAAAAGGAACATGAAAATGAATTATATTGCAGTTGTACTTAAAAGGGATGGAGTTTACACCAAATCACAAGATCTAGTCGCAGCTGAATTTACATAGTTTTATGCTGATTCGTTGGGCATGACCAGCATGGTACAACCTGTTGATATTGCTATATTGCAAAATGGTCCACTAATTTCATTGGAACAAGCACTAGACCTTGTAAGGGACATTTCGAGGCAAGAGATTAAAGAAGCAATATTTAGTATTAGAGACGAGAAATCTCTAGGACTGGATGGTTATTCTTTACGTTTTTAAGAAGTCTTGGGAGATTGTTAGAAGTGATTTCATGGATTCGATTGAAGAATTCTTCTCCTCAAGATCTTTACTTAAGCAAACCATCCACACAGTTATAGCATTGGTACCAAGGCTACTCATTCACTACTGTTGGGGACTATCGAACGATTGCTTGCTGCAATGTGTTCTACAAAGTTATAACCAAGATTCTTGCTTCTCATTTGGGGCTTATTCTCGATATTATTGTCGATCAAGCACAAGCTTCATTTATGAAGGGCGTAGCATGATTGAAATTACTCATCTTGCTTAAGAACTTTTGAGACTATAATCATAAGAGAGTTGCTCCTAGATGCCTTCTTAAGATTGATCTATGGAAGGCATAAGATTCGGTCAATTGGGACTTTCTTATTTTCGTTATTGAAGAGTTGTAATTCCCTAGAAGATTCATTGATTGGGTGATGGAATATATTACTATACCTTCAAACTCCGTCGCAATAAATGGTGGCTTACATGGGGTTCATTAAAGGAAAAATGGCCTTCGGCAAGGTGATCCTATTTCTTCTTTTTTGTTTGTGTTATACCTTGAGCAATTTTCAATGAAGTTAAAGGGAGCAATCGAAAATAGTGATTTCAACTATCATCCAAAATGTGGTCCCTTAAAGATTACGCACTTGGCATTTGCAGATGACTCGACGCTTTATGCTAGAGAAGATGTAACTTCGGTACCCATCTTGATGGATTGCCTATCTTATTTTGAGGATACTTTGGGGCTAAAGATGAATACTGTCAAACCTAGCCTATATATAGCCGGAATTCTTGGGCAAGCGTTGGAAGACATCTAAGAGTTAACAAATATACCGAGGTGTTCAATGCCATTTCATTACTTGGGCATTCCACTTGTAGCCGAAAAACTTAATGTTAGTTTTTATGCTCCATTTATAGACAAAATTGTAGCACATATTTGTTCATGGACAAGATCATCCCTGTCCTATGCAGGGAGAGTTGAAACTTGTGATAATCATGCTTCAAGTGTTGAATGTTTTTGTTTGTCCATCATTCTGATCCCAGCTATTGTTACGTCGAGAATTATTACACTTTGTCGAAACTTTTATTAGGGATCTAAAAAGCCGTTGGTAACATGGACAAATATTTACCTTTCGAAATGTGAATGAGGCCTTGGATTCAAATACATCAAATGCTGGAATTCTACCTTGCTTGCAAAATCACTTTGGAACATCCATAACAAAAAGGATTTACTTAGGTTTGCTGGATCAATCATGTTTACTTGAAGTAACTTTTCATCAAGAAAATGTGATTCGCCATTACTTAGAAAACTTGAAAATTAGGATAGAATTAGCCAGCCTAAAGAAATTGGTCAAGCCGCTTTGGATAGATTATCGAAGTGGGTTATTGGAGGTAACTTGAACATCTCACACGTATATGATTTCTTCAGATTGACACGAAACAACATTGCATGGACTGGGGATGTTTGGAGCTCTTGCATTGTTCCTAAACATTCATTCATCATGTGGTTAAGTGCCTAATCAAAGCTCCTAACCAGAGACAAAACTGTTGCATGTTCAATGATGACAATTGGCAGCTCATTCAAAAGGATTAAAAAGGAGGCACGTGGGACATCTTGGCATAGCAAAGCAAAGAGGATGCTCTTGTATGCATCCTATACCAAATATGGACAGCTAGGAACAGGAAAATCTTTGAGCATCGACGACCGCATGTGGATAGCATTGTTCAAAGGATTAAAACACACGTGTACAAGATAATGTTTACATTGTATCATTATGTTTCGATTTAGTTCGAAACTCTAACGATTGGTCTTTAGTTTGTAGACGTTGATACATCTTTTGATATTCGTTACTCGGGCATGCCTGAAATAGTTGTACTCGTCTTATGATCAATTTATATATTCATATTAACGATCAAAAAAATATGAGGCTTAGATTTAGGAGAATATTGATCACCAAATGTGGCACATCTTCGATCAATAGCTTTAGAATGATGAAATATTTGATATTACGCTTCAGATTTGCTTCAACAAAAATGTCTCAAAATAAATAAGTTGTCAACTTTTTAAACTTCAAGTTTTGCTTAGGCAAAATATCTCTGATGGAACAAGAAGACAACCCTTTTAAGCTTGAGAAGCAAAATCCCCTTGGAATGAATAAGAAGCCAACATTTTAAGCTTTAGATTTCGCTTCAAGCAATGCCTCAGAATAAAATGAGAAGCCAACTTTTTCAAGCTTTAGATTTAACTTTGGTAAGATGCCTCAAAATAAATAGAAACAAACCTATTATACTTTAATATCAGCTTAGTAAGATATTTCAAAGAAAAATGAGAAGCTGTGTAATGGATATGATAAAACTTTAAGTACTTTTAAGATTTCAGTATTAGAAGTAGAGAAATATAGAAATCTTTCAATTCATATAAATATGAAATTTAAATTTGGGTGACAAGTTAATGTTACATTCAGAAATTATTATAGTCCATCTGGATGCTATGTTTGCAATAGAAAGGGGGGGGGGGGT